TTTCGGGTTAGGATTACAGACATCTTAAGGGATAGGTTTGCAGACAGCATTATGATTAGGATTGCAGACAGCATTAGGGTTAGGATTACAGACAACATAAGGTTAAGGGTTACAAACAACATTAAGGTTAGGGTTACAGACAGCATTCGGGTGAGGGTAACAGTCTGTACTAGGGTTAGGAATACAAACAGCATTAGGGTTAGGATTACAGACAGAATTAGGGTTAGGGTTACAGACAGCATTGGGGTTAGGGTTACAGAAATCATTAGGGTTATGATTACAGTCATCATTAGGGTTAGGATTACAGTGAACATTAAGGTTAGGGTTACAGACAGCATTAGGGTTAGGGTTATAGTCAGCTTTATGATTAGGATTACAGACAGCATTAAGGTTAGGATTACCGACTGCATTAAGGTTAGCGTTACAGGCGCCATTAGGTTTAGGGTGAGATACAGCATTACGTTTAAAGTTACAGACAACAGTAGGGTTAGGATTACAGACAGAATAAGGGTTAGTGTGACAGTATTAGGGCTAGATTTACAGACATCATTAGTGTTAGGGTTGATGACAGCCATAAATTTAGGGTTACCAGCATTAGTGTAAGGGTTACAGACAGCATTAGTGTTAGGGTTTGTGACAGCAGTAGTGTAAGGGTTTATGAAAGCATAAGGGTTAGGGTTACAGAAATCATTAGGGTTAAGATTACAGTCATCATTAGGGCTAGGGTTACAGACAGCATTAGGGTTAGGGTTACAGACATCATTAGTGTAATGGTTACAGACAGCATTAGGGTTAGGATAACAGACAGCATTAGGTTAGGGTTACAGACAGTGTAAGAATTAGGATTACAGATACCATCAGGGAAGGAATACGGACAGCTTTCGGGTTAGGATTACAGACACCTTAAGGGATAGGTTTACAGACAGCATTATGATTAGGATTGCAGACAACATAAGGTTAAGGGTTATAGACAACATTAAGGTTAGGGTTACAGACAGCATTTGGGTTAGGGTAACAGTCTGTACTAGGGTTAGGAATACAAACAGCATTAGGGTTAGGATTACAGACAGAATTAGGGTTAGGGTTACAGACAGCATTGGGGTTAGGGTTACAGAAATCATTAGGGTTATGATTACAGTCATCATTAGGGTTAGGATTACAGAGAACATTAAGGTTAGGGTTACAGACAGCATTAGGGTTAGGGTTATAGTCAGCTTTATGATTAGTATTACAGACAGCATTAGGGTTAGGATTACCGACTGCATTAAGGTTAGGGTTACAGGCGCCATTAGGTTTAGGGTGAGATACAGCATTACGTTTTAAGTTACAGACAGCTTAAGGGTTAGGATGGCAGTTAGCATTAAGGTTAGAATTACAGACACCATTAGGGTTAAGGTTACAGACATCATTAGTGTTAGGGTAACAGACCGATTTAGGGTTATGATTACAGACATCATTAGTGTTAGAGTTACAGACAGCATAAGGGTTAGGGTTACAGACAGCATTAGGGTTAGGGTTACTAACAGCATTAGGGTTACGATTACAGTCAGCATTATGGTTAGTGCTAGGATTACAGACTGCATTAGGGTTAGGATTACAGTCAGCATTAGTGTAAGGGTTACAGACAGCATAAGGGTTAGGATTACGGACATCATTAGTGTGAGGTTTACAGACAGCATAAGGGTTAGGGTTACAGACATCATTAGGGTTAGGGTTACAGACAGATTTAGGGTTTGGGTTACAGTCAGCATTAGGGTTAGGGTTACAGTCTGCATTAGGGTTAGAATTACAGACGTCATTTGTGTTAGGGTTACATACTGTACTAGGATTATTGTTATAGACAACAGTAGGGTTAGGATTACAGACGTCATTTGTGTTAGGGTTACATACTGTACTAGGGTTATTGTTATAGACAACAGTAGGGTTAGGATTACAGACAGAATTAGGGTTAGTGTGACAGTATTAGGGCTAGATTTACAGACATCATTAGTGTTAGGGTTGATGACAGCCATAAATTTAGGGTTACAGACAGCATTAGTGTAAGGGTTACAGACAGCATTAGTGTTAGGGTTTATGACAGCAGTAGTGTAAGGGTTTATGAAAGCATAAGGGTTAGGGTTACAGAAATCATTAGGGTTAAGATTACAGTCATCATTAGGGCTAGGGTTACAGACAGCATTAGGGTTAGGGTTACAGACATCATTAGTGTAATGGTTACAGACAGCATTAGGGTTAGGATTACAGACAGCATTAGGGTTAGGGTTGTGGTCAGCTTTAGGATTAGGATAACAGACAGCATTATGGTTAGGATTACCGACTGCATTAAGGTTAAGGTTACAGACGCCATTAGGTTTAGGTTAGATACAGCATTACGGTTAAAGTTACAGACAGCTTAAGGGTTAGGATGACAGTTAGCATTAAAGTTAGAATTACATACACCATAAAGGTTAATGTTACAGACTGCATTAGGGTGAGGGTTACAGACAGAATTAGGAAAAGGATAACAGTTTGCATAAAAGTGAGGATACCTGCTTTAGGGTTAGGATTAAAGACAACATTAGGGTTAGGATTAAAGACAGCATTAGTGTTAGAAATACAGTCTGCATTAGGGTTAGGATTAAAGACAGCATTAGTGTTAGAAATACAGTATAAATTACGGTTAGGATTACAGACACCTTAAGGGTAAGGATTACAGTCTGCATTACTGTTAGGATTACACACAGCATTCGAGTTAGGATTACAGTCAGCATTTGGGTTTGAATAACCGACAGCATAAGGGTTATGGTTACAATGTGCATAAGGGTTATGATTATAGACACCATTAGGATTAAGATTACAGACAACATTAGAGCTGGGGTCACAGACATCATTAGAGTTTGAGTTAAAGTCAGCATTTGGGTTAAGGTTACAGTCTGCATTAGGTTTAGGAATACAGACACCATTTGGATTAGGATTACAGACACCCTTGGTGTTAGGATTACATACACCATTAGGGTTAGGATGATTACAGACACCCTATGGGTTAGGATTACCTACATCTTTAGGATTAGGATAACAGTCTTCTTTAGGATTAGGATTGCAGACACCATTTAGGTTAGGGTTTCAGACAGTGTAAGAATTAGGATTACAGACACCATCAGGGGAGGAATACAGACACTATAGGGCAGGAATACAGACATCATTAAGGATAGGGTTACACACAGCATTATGATAAGGATTGCAGACAGCATTAGGGTTAGGGTTGAAGACAACATTAGGTTTAGGATTACAGACAGAATTAGGGTTAGGGTTACAGACAGCATTGGGGTTAGGGTTACAGAAATCATTAGGGTTATGATTACAGTCATCATTAGGGTAAGGATTACAGTGAGCATTAAGGTTAGGGTTACAGACAGCATTAGGGTTAGGGTTATAGTCAGCTTTAGGATTAGGATTACAGACAGCATAAGGGTAGGATTACCGACTGCATTAAGGTTAGGGTTTCAGGCGCCATTAGGTTTAGGGTGAGATACAGCATAACGTTTAAAGTTACAGACAGCTTAAGGGTTAGGATGGCAGTTAGCATTAAGGTTAGAATTACAGACACCATTAGGGTTAAGGTTACAGACATCATTAGTGTTAGGGTAACAGACCGATTTAGGGTTAGGATTACAGACATCATTAGTGTTAGAGTTACAGACAGCATAAGGGTTAGGGTTACAGACAGCATTAGGGTTAGGGTTACTAACAGCATTAGAGTTACGATTACAGTCAGCATTATGGTTAGTGCTAGGATTACAGACTGCATTAGGGTTAGGATTACAGTCAGCATTAGTGTGAGGGTTACAGACAGCATAAGGGTTAGGATTACGGACATCATTAGTGTGAGGTTTACAGACAGCATAAGGGTTAGTGTTACAGACATCATTAGGGTTAGGGTTACAGACAGATTTAGGGTTTGGGTTACAGTCATCATTAAGGTTAGGGTTACAGTCTGCATTAGGGTTAGAATTACAGACGTCATTTGTGTTAGGGTTACATACTGTACTAGGGTTATTGTTATAGACAACAGTAGGGTTAGTATTACAGACAGAATTAGGGTTAGTGTGACAGTATTAGGGCTAGATTTACAGACATCATTAGTGTTAGGGTTTATGACAGCCATAAATTTAAGGTTACAGACAGCATTAGTGTAAGGGAAACAGACAGCATTAGTGTTAGGGTTTATGACAGCAGTAGTGTAAGGGTTTATGAAAGCATAAGGGTTAGGGTTACAGAAATCATTAGGGTTAAGATAACAGTCATCATTAGGGCTAGGGTTACAGACATCATTAGTGTTATGGTTACAGACAGCGTTAGGGTTAGGATTACAGTCAGCATTAAGGTTAGGATTACAGACAACATTAAGGTTTGGGTACAGACAGCATTCGGGTAAGGGTAACAGTCTGTATTAGGGTTAGGAATACAAACAGCATTAGGGTTAGGATTACAGACAACATTAGGTTAAGGCTTACAGACAACATTAAAGTTAGGGTTACAGACAACATTCGGGTTAGGTGTAACAGTCTGTATTAGGGTTAGGAATACAAACAGCATTAGGGTTAGGGTTGTGATCAGCTTTAGGATTAGGATAACAGACAGCATTATGGTAAGGATTACCGACTGCATTAAGGTTAGGGTTACAGACGCCATTAGGTTTAGGTTAGATACAGCATTACGGTTAAAGTTACAGACAGCTTAAGGGTTAGGATGACAGTTAGCATTAAAGTTAGAATTACATACACCATAAAGGTTAATGTTACAGACTGCATTAGGGTTAGGGTTACAGACAGAATTAGGAAAAGGATAACAGTTTGCATAAAAATAAGGATACCTGCTTTAGGGTTAGGATTAAAGACAACATTAGGGTTAGGATTAAAGACAGCATTAGTGTTAGAAATACAGTCTGCATTAGGGTTAGGATTAAAGACAGCATTAGTGTTAGAAATACAGTCTAAATTAGGGTTAGGATTACAGACACCTTAAGGGTTAGGGTTACAGACAGCATTACTGTTAGGATTACACACAGCATTCGAGTTAGGATTACAGTCAGCATTTGGGTTTGAATAACCGACAGCATAAGGGTTATGGTTACAATGTGCATAAGGGTTATGATTATAGACACCATTAGGATTAAGATTACAGACAGCATTAGAGCTGGGGTCACAGACATCATTAGAGTTTGAGTTAAAGTCAGCATTTGGGTTAAGGTTACAGTCTGCATTAGGTTTAGGATTACAGACACCATTTGGATTAGGATTACAGACACCATTAGGATTAGGATGATTACAGACACCCTTGGGGTTAGGATTACCTACATCTTTAGGATTAGGATAACAGTCTTCTTTAGGATTAGGATTGCAGACACCATTTAGGTTAGGGTTTCAGACAGTGTAAGAATTAGGATTACAGACACCATCAGGGGAGGAATACAGACACTATAGGGCAGGAATACAGACAGCATTAAGGATAGGGTTACACACAGCATTATGATAAGGATTGCAGACAGCATTAGGGTTAGGGTTGAAGACAACATTAGGTTTAGGATTACAGACAGAATTAGGGTTAGGGTTACAGACAGCATTGGGGTTAGGGTTACAGAAATCATTAGGGTTATGATTACAGTCAGCATTAGGGTTAGGATTACAGTGAGCATTAAGGTTAGGGTTACAGACAGCATTAGGGTTAGGGTTATAGTCAGCTTTAGGATTAGGATTACAGACAGCATAAGGGTAGGATTACCGACTGCATTAAGGTTAGGGTTTCAGGCGCCATTAGGTTTAGGGTGAGATACAGCATAACGTTTAAAGTTACAGACAGCTTAAGGGTGAGGATGGCAGTTAGCATTAAGGTTAGAATTACAGACACCATTAGGGTTAAGGTTACAGACATCATTAGTGTTAGGGTAACAGACCGATTTAGGGTTAGGATTACAGACATCATTAGTGTTAGAGTTACAGACAGCATAAGGGTTAGGGTTACAGACAGCATTAGGGTTAGGGTTACTAACAGCATTAGGGTTACGATTACAGTCAGCATTATGGTTAGTGCTAGGATTACAGACTGCATTAGGGTTAGGATTACAGTCAGCATTAGTGTGAGGGTTACAGACAGCATAAGGGTTAGGATTACGGACATCATTAGTGTGAGGTTTACAGACAGCATAAGGGTTAGTGTTACAGACATCATTAGGGTTAGGGTTACAGACAGATTTAGGGTTTGGGTTACAGTCATCATTAGGGTTAGGGTTACAGTCTGCATTAGGGTTAGAATTACAGACGTCATTTGTGTTAGGGTTACATACAGTACTAGGGTTATTGTTATAGACAACAGTAGGGTTAGTATTACAGACAGAATTAGGGTTAGTTTGACAGTATTAGGGCTAGATTTAAAGACATCATTAGTGTTAGGGTTTATAACAGCCATAAATTTAAGGTTACAGACAGCATTAGTGTAAGGGTTACAGACAGCATTAGTGTTAGGGTTTATGACAGCAGTAGTGTAAGGGTTTATGAAAGCATAAGGGTTAGGGTTACAGAAATCATTAGGGTTAAGATTACAGTCATCATTAGGGCTAGGGTTACAGACATCATTAGTGTTATGGTTACAGACAGCGTTAGGGTTAGGATTACAGTCAGCATTAAGGTTAGGATTACAGACAACATTAAGGTTTGGGTACTGACAGCATTCGGGTAAGGGTAACAGTCTGTATTAGGGTTAGGAATACAAACAGCATTAGGGTTAGGATTACAGACAACATTAGGTTAAGGCTTACAGACAACATTAAAATTAGGGTTACAGACAACATTCGGGTTAGGTGTAACAGTCTGTATTAGGGTTAGGAATACAAACAGCATTAGGGTTAGGGTTGTGATCAGCTTTAGGATTAGGATAACAGACAGCATTATGGTAAGGATTACCGACTGCATTAAGGTTAGGGTTACAGACGCCATTAGGTTTAGGTTAGATACAGCATTACGGTTAAAGTTACAGACAGCTTAAGGGTTAGGATGACAGTTAGCATTAAAGTTAGAATTACATACACCATAAAGGTTAATGTTACAGACTGCATTAGGGTTAGGGTTACAGACAGAATTAGGAAAAGGATAACAGTTTGCATAAAAGTAAGGATACCTGCTTTAGGGTTAGGATTAAAGACAACATTAGGGTTAGGATTAAAGACAGCATTAGTGTTAGAAATACAGTCTGCATTAGGGTTAGGATTAAAGACAGCATTAGTGTTAGAAATACAGTCTAAATTAGGGTTAGGATTACAGACACCTTAAGGGTTAGGGTTACAGACAGCATCAGGGTAAGGATTACAGTCTGCATTACTGTTAGGATTACACACAGCATTCGAGTTAGGATTACAGTCAGCATTTGGGTTTGAATAACCGACAGCATAAGGGTTATGGTTACAATGTGCATAAGGGTTATGATTATAGACACCATTAGGATTAAGATTACAGACAGCATTAGAGCTGGGGTCACAGACATCATTAGAGTTTGAGTTAAAGTCAGCATTTGGGTTAAGGTTACAGTCTGCATTAGGTTTAGGATTACAGACACCATTTGGATTAGGATTACAGACACCATTAGGATTAGGATGATTACAGACACCCTTGGGGTTAGGATTACCTACATCTTTAGGATTAGGATAACAGTCTTCTTTAGGATTAGGATTGCAGACACCATTTAGGTTAGGGTTTCAGACAGTGTAAGAATTAGGATTACAGACACCATCAGGGGAGGAATACAGACACTATAGGGCAGGAATACAGACAGCATTAAGGATAGGGTTACACACAGCATTATGATAAGGATTGCAGACAGCATTAGGGTTAGGGTTGAAGACAACATTAGGTTTAGGATTACAGACAGAATTAGGGTTAGGGTTACAGACAGCATTGGGGTTAGGGTTACAGAAATCATTAGGGTTATGATTACAGTCAGCATTAGGGTTAGGATTACAGTGAGCATTAAGGTTAGGGTTACAGACAGCATTAGGGTTAGGGTTATAGTCAGCTTTAGGATTAGGATTACAGACAGCATAAGGGTAGGATTACCGACTGCATTAAGGTTAGGGTTTCAGGCGCCATTAGGTTTAGGGTGAGATACAGCATAACGTTTAAAGTTACAGACAGCTTAAGGGTGAGGATGGCAGTTAGCATTAAGGTTAGAATTACAGACACCATTAGGGTTAAGGTTACAGACATCATTAGTGTTAGGGTAACAGACCGATTTAGGGTTAGGATTACAGACATCATTAGTGTTAGAGTTACAGACAGCATAAGGGTTAGGGTTACAGACAGCATTAGGGTTAGGGTTACTAACAGCATTAGGGTTACGATTACAGTCAGCATTATGGTTAGTGCTAGGATTACAGACTGCATTAGGGTTAGGATTACAGTCAGCATTAGTGTGAGGGTTACAGACAGCATAAGGGTTAGGATTACGGACATCATTAGTGTGAGGTTTACAGACAGCATAAGGGTTAGTGTTACAGACATCATTAGGGTTAGGGTTACAGACAGATTTAGGGTTTGGGTTACAGTCATCATTAGGGTTAGGGTTACAGTCTGCATTAGGGTTAGAATTACAGACGTCATTTGTGTTAGGGTTACATACAGTACTAGGGTTATTGTTATAGACAACAGTAGGGTTAGTATTACAGACAGAATTAGGGTTAGTGTGACAGTATTAGGGCTAGATTTAAAGACATCATTAGTGTTAGGGTTTATAACAGCCATAAATTTAAGGTTACAGACAGCATTAGTGTAAGGGTTACAGACAGCATTAGTGTTAGGGTTTATGACAGCAGTAGTGTAAGGGTTTATGAAAGCATAAGGGTTAGGGTTACAGAAATCATTAGGGTTAAGATTACAGTCATCATTAGGGCTAGGGTTACAGACATCATTAGTGTTATGGTTACAGACAGCGTTAGGGTTAGGATTACAGTCAGCATTAAGGTTAGGATTACAGACAACATTAAGGTTTGGGTACTGACAGCATTCGGGTAAGGGTAACAGTCTGTATTAGGGTTAGGAATACAAACAGCATTAGGGTTAGGATTACAGACAACATTAGGTTAAGGCTTACAGACAACATTAAAATTAGGGTTACAGACAACATTCGGGTTAGGTGTAACAGTCTGTATTAGGGTTAGGAATACAAACAGCATTAGGGTTAGGGTTGTGATCAGCTTTAGGATTATGATAACAGACAGCATTATGGTAAGGATTACCGACTGCATTAAGGTTAGGGTTACAGACGCCATTAGGTTTAGGTTAGATACAGCATTACGGTTAAAGTTACAGACAGCTTAAGGGTTAGGATGACAGTTAGCATTAAAGTTAGAATTACATACACCATAAAGGTTATTGTTACAGACTGCATTAGGGTTAGGGTTACAGACAGAATTAGGAAAAGGATAACAGTTTGCATAAAAGTAAGGATACCTGCTTTAGGGTTAGGATTAAAGACAACATTAGGGTTAGGATTAAAGACAGCATTAGTGTTAGAAATACAGTCTGCATTAGGGTTAGGATTAAAGACAGCATTAGTGTTAGAAATACAGTCTAAATTAGGGTTAGGATTACAGACACCTTAAGGGTTAGGGTTACAGACAGCATTAGGGTAAGGTTTACAGTCTGCATTACTGTTAGGATTACACACAGCATTCGAGTTAGGATTACAGTCAGCATTTGGGTTTGAATAACCGACAGCATTGGGTTATGGTTACAATGTGCATTAGGGTTATGATTATAGACACCATAAGGATTAAGATTACAGACAGCATTAGAGCTGGGGTCACAGACATCATTAGAGTTTGAGTTAAAGTCAGCATTTGGGTTAAGGTTACAGTCTGCATTAGGTTTAGGATTACAGACACCATTAGGATTAGGATTACAGACACCCTTGGTGTTAGGATTACCTACATCTTTAGGATTAGGATAACAGTCTTCTTTAGGATTAGGATTGCAGACACCATTTAGGTTAGGGTTTCAGACAGTGTAAGAATTAGTATTACAGACACCATAAGAGGAGAAATACAGACACTATAAGTGCATTAAGGATAGGGTTACACACAGCATTATGATAAGGATTGCAGACAGCATTAGGGTTAGGGTTGAAGACAACATTAGGTTTAGGGTTATAGACAACATTAAGGTTAGGTTTACAGACAGCATTAAGCATTAGGGTTAGGATAAACAGTCCGCATTAGGATTAGGATAACAGACACAATGAGGGGTAGGGTTACAGACAACATTATGATAAGGGTTATAGACAGCATTATGGTAAGGACTACAGACACCCTTAGGGTTAGGGTTACAGACAGCATTCGGGTAGGGATTACAGTCACCATTTGTATTGGATTACTGGCAGCATAAGGGGTAGGGTTACAGAGAGCATTAGGGTTAAGGTTTCAGACAGCTTTAGGGTTAGGGTTACAGACATCAATATGGTTAGGATTACAGACAGAAATAGGGTTAGGATAACAGACAACATTATAGTAAGGGTAATAGTCTCCATCATTAGGGTTGGGATCACAGTCTGCATTATGGTTAGGGTAACAGACAGCATCAGACGAAGGGTAACAGACAGCATTAGGCTTGGGGTGACAGACATTATTAGGGTTAGGGTTACAGACAGAATTAGAATTATGATTACAAACAGCATTAGTGTTAGAATTAAAGTCTGCATTAGAGTTATGGTTGTAGCCAGCTTTAGGATAATGGTTACATACACCAATAAGGTTACACCAATAAGGTTAGGGTTACATACTGCATAAGGGTTAGGGTAAAAGACAGCCTAAGAGTTAGAATGACAGTCAGCATTAGGGTTAGAATTAGAGATCCCATTAGGTTAAGGTTACAGACACCATTAGGGTTAATGTTACAGAATGCATTAGGGTAAGGTTTACTGACAGCATTAGGGTTAAGGTTACAGACTGCATTAGGGTTAGGTTTACAGACAGCATTATGGTAAGGATAAAGGTATGCATTAGGATAAGGATTACAGACAGCATTATGGTCAGGATTACAGACAGCATTAGGGTTAGTATTACAGACATCATTGGTGTTAGGGTTACAGACAGCATAAATGTTAGGGTTACAGATAACATTAGGGTTAGGGTTACAGACAGCATTAGGGTTAGGGTTACAGCCAGCATTAGAGTTAGGGTTACAGACAACATAAGGGCTAGAGTTACAGGCAGCATTATGGTAAGTGCTAAGATTACAGACAGCAAAAGGGTTAGGATAAAAATCAGCATTAGGGTTAGAATTACAGACGTTATTCGTGTTAGGGTTACAGCCTGTACTAGGGTTATGGTTATAGACAACAGTTGGGTTAGGATTACAGACAGAATAAGGGTTAGGGTGACAGCATTAGGGCTATATTTACAGACAGCGTTAGTGTTAGGGTTTATGACAGCATTAGGGTTAGGGTAACAGACAGCATTAGGGTTAGGGTTACAGACAGCGTTAGTGTTAAGGTTTATGACAGCAGTAGTGTAAGGGTTTATGACAGCATAAGAGTTAGGGTTACAGATACAATTAGGGTTAGGATTACAGACAGCATTAAAGTTAGGATTACAGACAGCATCAGGGTTAGGATTACAGACACTATTAGGGTTAGGGTTACAGACAGCATTAGGGTAAGAGTTACAGACAGCATTAGGTTTAATTTTATAGTCTGTATTAGGGTCAGGTTTACAGACAACATTAGGGTTAGGCTTTCAAACAGCATTAGAGTTAGGAGTAAAGTCAGCTTTAGGATTAAGGTTACAGATACCATTTGGGTTAGGATCACAGACTCCATTTAGGTTAGGAATACAGACTGGATTAGGGTTAGGAATACAATCATCATTTGGGTTAGGGTTAAAGACACCATTAAGGTCAGGGTTAAGGACACCATTAGGGTTAGGGTTACAGATATCAATAGTGTTATGGTAACAGACAGATTTAGGGTTAGGGTTACAGTCAGCATTTGGGTTAGGGTTACAGACATCATTAGTGTTAGGGATACAGACAGCATAAGGGTTAGGGTTACAGGCAGCATTAGGGTTAGGGTTACAGAAAGCATAAGGGTTAGGATTACAGTCAGCATTATGGTAAGTGCTGGGATCACAGACAGCATTAGGGTTAGGAATACAGTCAGCAATAGGGTTAGAATTACAGAGTTACGTCATTCGTGTTAAGGTTACAGACTGTACTAGGGTTATAGTTATAGACAACAGTAGGGTTAGGAATACAGACAGAATTAGGTTTATGGTGACAGCATTAGGGCTAGATTAACAGACAGCATTAGTGTTAGAGTTTATAACAGCATTAGGGTTAAGGTCACAGACAGCATTAGGGTTTGGGTTACAGACAGCATTACTGTTAGGGTTTATGACAGCAGTAGTGTTAGGGTTTATTTCAGTATTAGGGTTAGGGTTACAGATATCATTAGGGTTTGGATTACAAACAGCATTAGGGTTTGGATTACAGACAGCATAAGGGTTAGGGTTACAGACACTATTAGGGTTAGGATTACAGACAGCATTAGGGTTAGGATTACAGTCAGCATTATGGTAAGTTCTAAGATTACAGACAGCATTAGGGTTAGAATTAGAGAGATACGTCATTCGTGTT